AACTGTGCCATGGGTATTTATCCCCAAATCTGCACATCGCTTTCCTGCGCTTGCATATTACCATATATGGCCCAATGGTCACCAAGTAGGGTGTGTCCCAGGGGTTGGGCCAAAACCGTGCAGGTTTCATGCGACCAGGTAAGCCCTGCAGTTCTCACGCCAAGGTGACGGGTGGGAGAGTCAGGCTATTTTCCCCTTTTCACACCTTCCCCTTTTCTAAAGGCAATGGTATGCAGGAAGGGTGCGGCCGGTTTCTCTCAAGGAGTCAAGAGCAGCCTGGCCAAACTTTTTTACTGGGGGGGCAGTTTCTTTTCTCTAACACCATTCATAGCTCTGGTTTTTTCCCCCGATCACAGGGCAAGGCTTGGGGCTTTCTCCACCCCCGTGTGCCTCTGCAAGTCATCTTGCATGCCAGTTATGGCACACATTCCAGACATAGCTGACCCCTGATTTAGACCTTGGTTCAGGGTGTCAAATTTGCATATGAATTCCAGCTCAGCCAGAGAGGGCTACCAGGGAGCAGGCCTGGCCTTTGGGCAAGGCAAGGTGGTTGCCTCGGGCCCCATGCATTCAGGGCCCCGTGCTGCCCAGCTCCCGGCCCCACTCACCTTGCAGGAGAGTGCAGGAGCAGGCTTGGGGGGGGGGGGGGGTTGTCGCACAGGGGATTAGAGCACCTGTATGGCACAGCTCCCAGGGAATGGAGGTGGGTATAGGCAGCTCCACACAGCTCTGTGTGCTGCAAGGAAGTGCTCCAACCCCTGGTCCCCCCCCCCCCCCCCTTGCCATTGTTTCCACTGGCAGGGAATAACGGAGGGCAGTGCCTGCAGGGAGTGCTTCCCTGCAGTGCAAAGAACTGCTTTCTCTCTCCTGCTAAGGCAGGGGTGTCCAAACTTTTTTCAAAGAGGGCCAGATTTGATGAAGTGAACAAGCGTGAGGGCCGACCATTTTGCCTGACATTCTTTGAACCATTAAAATTAAATGCAAATTAACTATTTTATGCAACGTTTATTGCAAACGGCATACTTTTCATTTCGTCACATGGATGACAAATCTAAACAGGTGTTAAATCACTCTGCCTTTCATATCTGAAGGCCAGATGAAAAAAAAATCCAGGAAGCTGAAATATATGTCAGGAACATTGTAAAGTACATTACATATTATTGGTAATAAAGGTTGTCTGTCAACTTTTAAGTTCAAAAAATATGAACAGGAACATAACACCAAGTATACATGTTGTGTCCAAATATATTTATAACTGATTTAGACCAACTGACATTAACTGAGATTTTACAATGTATTCATCTCAATACATATGGATTCGTTGGGGGCCATAAAAGATAGATATTGCCAAATTACCTGTGGGGCCGTATTAAACCGGAACACGGGCCGCAATTGGTCCGCGGGCCGGACTTTGGACATGCCTGTGCTAAGGTAAGCCTGCAGGCCGGGTGTCCCCCACAGCTTGCCTTGATCATCCTGGAAGGTTCCCCTCAGCAGCAGAGTGCCAGCCTGCCTTGCTGCAGAAAAGGGGGAGGGGAGAGAGCCCCAGACCCACAAACGGGGAGGAGCAAAGGGGGTCGCTTGCCCTGTGGCCCAGAGATTTGGACCAAGCTTCTGGCTGCTGCTATTGCATCAGTGAGGGGAGCCTTGGGCTCCTTTGAATTGCTGCACAGCTCTGAAGGCTTGGGAAGGGCATGCCATGGTCTGGGGAGCACTAAGGGCTGACTGCCCTCAGCCCAGCCCCTTCCATCCTATTCTTTCCAAGGACACAGAGCCATGCCCCTCCACACCTACTGGGGAGCTCCAAACATCAGGGGCCAGATTAATAAAGCCCTGTGTGGATATAAAGTTTTGTATCCACAACCATAAAAAATGAACAGCTGTGGATAGCCACATCCACTATCCATAGTTACCAATGGATTTACCAATCCAGGGAAGGTACCAGGCAGCTGGATCAAGGCAAGCTGCGGGCCAAAGGTCACTCCCCCAGTCTAGGTAATACTTAGTCCAGCCATGTGCACAGGCGACTGGACTAGATGATCTAAGTCCTGGCCAGTCCTACAATTCTGCGATACCACTCACAGACGCACACAGAACGGGCCTGGACGCCGGACACCCGGCCCACACGCTCAGAGCCAGAAGACACGTGCATCTCAGCCAAGCCAAGGCAACGGCACTGCGGTGCAGGCGCGTAGCACGGCCCAGGGAAGGTCACCCA